CGTCCGACGAGAAGTTCAGAGAACTTCTGAGAAGAAGTTTAGAGAACTACCGAGGAGACGTTCATAAAACTTCGGACAAGGAATCCATAGGAGAGGTTCAGAGAAATTCCGATGAGAAGATCAGAGATCTTCCGCGCATAACATATGTGGAACTCGATCATTAGAAATGTACCATATGTGTCGGCACACCTTTGATATACCTTCGGCACAATCTCGTAGGCATTGGATTGTTGTTAACGAAATGGGAGCACTGCTGTACAACTGTTATTGAAGTTATTCACAACACAATTAAATATATCAGAGGAACTCAGACCAGCAGTTCACCTTTAGATCTAAACACGAAATGTAGGTTCTAGAGTGGGCTCAAGAGAAAGAGGCAGTTAATCAGACCCCATTAGTACCGTTAATTTACCAAAATTACGCACAGCCGCTTCTTCCCGCATCTTTCTCAATCCAATTTATCCTTGCGATTTCAAACCAAAACATTCACGGTGTCAGAAATACCGGGTTGCCGGGATGGGTATATCAATTCCACAGGCACGGTGGCCAAATACATAGCGTCATACAAATCATCCTCCTCGGATAGAGCGATCTTCATAGCCACCGGTAGCTCATCCTGTTTATGATACCCTGTGCAGTCTGCGGTATATTAGATAGGCTTTCTTTAAACATTGTTTTATGTTTTATTCGTCTAAGAATACAGATATACCTCAACATAAAGTAACTGTTACTTTGACTTCCAGCGTCGAAGTCTCACAAATAACAGTTAAATTATAGTTAAATAATTCAAATGTCTCATCTTCGATGGTGTTATTACATTGCACAGTGGTCCAGAATGCAGATTTAGCTGGAATGATATGTTTTGAGCCTGAAATTGAAACTTTAGACTAAAAGTCTCTTCTACAAAGTTGTTCCTTATAGTTAGGCCCTCATTTTTATGACATTGAATTCTAGGGTGGTTCCTATTATCATTAAAATCAAAAATCTAACTTTTTTGTTTGAATAAATTAAGGTATACATTCTTCCGCAAAGTTATAGCTGAGCTAATTTCAAGCAACTGTGGTGAAAATAACTTTTTTGTATCTCTTAAATTGGCCAATTTAGAGCTATTTTCTTGAATTGAGTTAGGGTGGCTCTCAAAAAAACAGTTTTTTTGCTCTATTTTTCTTATTTCGAATTTCTCAGCAAAGGTGTCTTCAGATAACTTTTAGATCGCAAGAAGGCGCAAATTTTTGCTGCACAAAGCTTGTCAATATCTTTCGCCGATCAAGAGTAATTGATTTTTTTATACTAAAATTATGCACTTTTCAAATGTTAATATCTCTGGTTGGGGCAAACAAAAAAAAAGTTTTTTTGCAGCATTTGAAAGGGAGTATGTTATTCTCAATAATATGAAAAAATTGGAGGTATGTTATTTTTTAAACTCGTATAAAATCAATTTGAATGTATTCATATTTTTTACTATATTTGACTATATCTTTTTTATTAGAAGAGATACAGGCAACAAATTCAGCTATAAAACATTCGTCTTAAAGAGTTTTAAAAGTCTCTAGAAGATGACTTTCATTATAAATTTCAAATAAAAAAGTTATTGGCAAAAGATGGATTTCATAGGACCACTCTAATGACAAATTTATATAAAATGTGCTAGTACATTTGTTTCAATATTTGGACATTTAGTGTCTTCGAAGAAGTTTTTGTTCTTAAAAATTCCCTTCTTTTGGTGTTTGCAGACGTCAGGGTGGTCCTCAAATTAAGGAATTTTTAAAACTAACTTTTTTGTTTTACAAAATATAAACATGTGTTGTTTGAAAAAGTTGTAGTTAAGTTACTTGCAAGCAACTTTGTCGAAGAAAATTTTTTTCTATCTCTTAACGTTCTCATTTTAGAGTAATTTTTCGGAGTTGACTTAGGGTGTTCCTGGAAAAAATAGTTTTTTAGCAATAACTTTTTTATTTGAAAATTCTCATGAAAGTTATCTTGGAGAGCATTTTAAAACTCTTTAAGACGAATGTTTTATAGCTGAATTTGTTGCCTGTATCTCTTCTAATAAAAAAGATATAGCCAAATATAGTAAAAAATATGAATAAATTCAAATTGATTTTATACGAGTTTAAAAAATAACATACCTCCAATTTTTTCATATTATTGAGAATAACATACGCCCTTTCAAATGCTGCAAAAAAACTTTTTTTTTGTTTGCCCCAACCAGAGATATTAACATTTGAAAAGTGCATAATTTTAGTATAAAAAAATCAATAACTCTTGATCGGCGAAAGATATTGGCAAGCTTTGTGTAGCAAAAATTTGCGTCTTCTTAAGATCTAAAAGTTATCTGAAGACACCTTTGCTGAAAAATTCGAAATAAGAAAAACAGAGCAAAAAAACTGTTTTTTTAAGAGTCACCCTAACTCAATTCAAGAAAATAGCTCTAAATCGGCCAATTTAAGAGATACAAAAAAGTTATTTTCACCACAGTTGCTTGAAATTAGCTCAGCTATAACTTTGCCCAAGAATGTATACCTTAATTTATCCAAACAAAAAAGTTAGATTTTTGATTTTAATGATAATAGGAACCACCCTAGAATTCAATGTCATAAAAATGAGGGCCTAACTATAAGGAACAACTTTGTAGAAGAAACTTTTAGTCTTAAGTTTCAATTTCAGGCTCAAAACATATCATTCCAGCTAAATCTTCATTCTGTACCACTGTGCATTGCTTGATGTAATGGTTGTTAGCTAGAAATCAGCGATGGAAGTCAAAAGTGACAGTTACGTTACACCAAGGTACACCTGAATACAATTTCACAACCTAAACCCGATCCTTAACCCCTTCGAACCTTCCCCTTGGCATACAACAGAATCACATTCGACACCTCGAAATTTTTCACCTCGAGGAAATCGATAAACTTTATTTTTTTCAAAATTCCCGCTTATATTCATATAGCCGTCCTTCGTTTGCAGCCGATTGAATAGTTCCATCTCCACCTCACAGTTGTTATCGTTGATATACTGTTCCATAGTCAACGTCACGGATGAAGAACCACATCCAGCTTTCCGGAATCCATCCGACGGAGTATAGCCATAGAGGTAACTCTAAGACCAGAAGGTCCCGAAGAAACGAGCTCAACTTTTTGGTTCAGCTCTGGTACTATCTTCGGTACCAAGCTAATCGATTCACCCCGCGAAACATAGGAAAATCCAATAACCCCTCATTTTATCTGTCAAACTTTCATAGTGAATCAAAACAAACATTGTGTAGTACTAGAATTTCGACTAGAATGGGGTAGGTTAAACGATTTGCTTGGGACCAATAGGCTAGTCAAGTAGTGAGCCAATTTAAAATCGTTAGTTTCGTATTGATTGTTGGTATAGCTAAGGAACCGGCAGACACCAGGAATACAATAAGTCTTTTTGGAACAGATTTGGTTTGGTTTGCTTATTCTGGTGAAATTTCCGTGCTGCAGCAGTGATTTTAGGTTGCATACATAAAATTATTTTTATCACGCTTCGTTTTCTTTCACAATCACAAATTAACAATCACAAAATTCATTAAATCTTCAGGGTTGTCAAACTTACTTGATTGACACGCTTCGGCACAGCGAAAACTATCGGCACATATTGAGGTGTGTAGAGAGTTAAACCTTTACCAATCAGTTCCGTAGTTCAAATTTTACCGAATAGTGGAGGCCTCCATTATTGTTTAGTATGTTGGAAACAAGATGAAATAGTTTGGGCTTTTCTAATAATAACGTTCTCAATAATCGCTTTTTATTCAGGAGCAGAAAATTTCAAACTAACAGAAAATATAAAAATACAATTAATTCAAGATCTGGCGTCGATGGCGTAGATTTTCGCTCTTACACTCCCGGTCATAAGTTTGGGGTCACAAAGAAGCAAATGTGTTATGTTCATATCTGATTTTCTCAGAATTGGGTTGGCCAAATTTTGAAATGAAATAAGAAGTAGAATACTTATTCTATTCCCAACAGGCCGTTTTTGTGAAACTGTGGAGGATTTTTTTTTTAGAATATTTAATCCACCTCGCAGTATGGTGATTCACTGTAGTGAGTTTTGGTAAATCTTACTTTAAAAAAAAATGTGGTAAGCCAAGTGGCACATATCACAAATCTAAACCTGGACGGAAAATAGCAAAGATATGATCAAAAAACATTTTCAGGATTTGTTTTAAGGGTAACCCTTAATTTTTGAGCGGTACATGCATCGTGTGACCCCAAAATTTTGATCGATGACTTGAATACGTATTTTCATGATTCAAATATTTTCTAATTTTTGCCACCAAATTTTCTCAACTGGAGTTCGTTGTTTATTGAATAAAGGCTCAGTCATGGGGTGGTCACTCTACACACTCATTTTGCGTCAACATTTTTCTCAGTGTGCCTCAAGTGGGCCGCGCTGTGCCGAGAGAGCTAGTCATCGAACTGACTTTGTTTGTGAATGGTTGTATGTTTGGCAACCCGGTATTTTGACAGTTCAAATGTTTCGTTTTAGAATGTCAAACCGTACGAGCTACCGAACATTGGTCGCGTAAACGTCAGATCAACAGAAACGACATTCGGCCGTTGGAACGTTTGAGATTCCGATTCCTATTCGGATGGGAAGTACCGCGGGGAAGCGATTAACTACGATGGCAACAACGACATACTGTACACTATTTCGAATCAGACACTTACCTGCGGGAGGAAGGTTTACTGCATCTGGGTAAGCCGGGGATCCAGATGCATCGTTCAACAACCTCGAGTATGAGGATAGGCATCAGAATCGTTAACGTTCAACCGCGTGACGGTGGACAATTCGCTTGGGCAGGCCATCAAGAATACTGCTGTTGCACAGCACTCGGATCGGCCCAGTTTGATGAATGCGATGAAGATTTGATCCACGGAGAGTAAAGCAAATATTACACGCTGGTGAGGCACATCGGGAAGGACACGTACGGGTAAGTGAAGCTGAGCTACCAGAACTCGGATAGGTTGCTGATGATGTCAAAGCTCATACTGAAGGAGAAGCTCGTGCCGCAGTTTGTGATTAAGACCGATGAGAAGCGGAAAATTCCGATGGAAGTGTACCTGTTGACGCGCGTGAAGCATCCGAACATTGTCAACATAATTGACAACAAATTCTTCCAGGTTGTGATCGAAATCCACGACTCCGGGATGGATCTGTTCAAGTTTATCGATCGAAGACCAGTGATGACGGAGAAGCTGAGTTGTTGGATCTTTCGACAGATTTCAAATGCGGTTGCTTTTCTAAACATTTTGCACCGGGACATCAAAGACGAGAACGTTATCATCGATCACAATTTCCATATCAAGCTGATTGACTTCGGATCGCCATCGTTCGTACAGGAAGGGCATTTTTTCTACCTTCTATGGCACGACCGAGTACTGCAGTCCGGAAGTGTTGGCATGCAACCGCTACTCTGACCCGGAACTGGAAATGTGGGTTCTCGGTGTGATACTGTACGTGTTGATGTTCTTCGAGAACCCATTCTTGGGCGTTGAGAAAATCCTACAATCAGGAACTACTGGAGACGGTGGGGGAGAGGTAGCTCATCGATTCTTCCGGTGCGCCTCCTAGCATCGTGCTATAAGGTCCAAGGCGATAACCAGGGTAGTTGATCGATAGCTCGATGACGTCATTTCGTTGACGTCTGCAATGGGAAATTCTCATTGAGTTGTTGAATAGCAACTATCGTGGTAACTCACCGATTACCTGTCGATCTGCCAAATTTGGAAAGACGTCTGCATTGAATTGTCTCATATAATAATATTCCGCCCACTATATCACAAGAAATTGTGAGTAGCTGAGTGGAATGGAGATAAGTTAAGCATTGGGTACAGGACCAAGTCTCCCCTGGGTGGTGCCAAAAGATGAGCGCAATAGAATCATCAAGTTGCCATAAGGCACGGAATGAGACTATTGCATGGCTGGGTAGTCAAAGTCTTCCATTCGTTAGTCATTTCAGGTGGATTAGAACAGGTTTAGGTGGGCGTTGGCCAGATTTGGATTTTTCAGATGTAATCCTGGATAGGACCCTGTCATTGAACGTCGCGTGAAAGTGGAACTTAATGAAGGCCTAAGTACTTTTTCGTAGTTTTTAGTTTTCGGATTTGAAAGATCGTCGGTTACAGTGGCCTGCTTACTGAGCAGAAAAACGCGGTCCCAGGTCCTTACATATCAAAGAGATTTATGGTCAAATCGCTTGTGTATCGTGTATTTTGCGAAACTCGTTGTTGTCGTTGGTTCCGGGTTTGAATGGATACACAAATTTGAGCAACGGTATTATGTGATATGAGGGGCTCAGTGGCCTTAGAGCAACCGTTTTTGCTTACTGAGCAGAACATCATGACTCTAATCTCAGGCCCATCCACATTCAAGATTCGTCAATCGTTTTATTTGTTAATATGACCACATGGTAATAACAGCAACTCGGTGATTAAAAAGGTGCTCGTCTGCCTAGTGGCAAACGTTTTTGCTTACTGAGCAGAAGACCGTGGGTTTAGTCCCAAGCTCCTTCGCGTTATATGATCGTTAGGGACATCAATTCAGCTTATCGTTTACCAAAACGAACCCTGCTGCAAACCCAACCCTCTTATCCAACATCCCAGTGATTCCTCGTGGAAGTGCAGAGGTGTTCTCGGCTTCCATCAAAGCGAGTGTCATGTCAACACAATCCTTCCCATTCCTTTCTTGACCTGTGTTGGGGCGCGGCCGGCGCTGGTATTGCCTAATTTAAGATCACCAGTTTTTACACATTGAGGATGATTGCTAGTCCCAAGCATCGTCTATTGGTTCTCTGTGTAATTACAGCTGATCTGGCAGTAACAGAGTAGCAGCAGGCGGTCAATCAAGCTCAAGCTCAAGCTCAGGAACTACTGGAGACGGAATGGGTGACGCAGGAAATCAATTCGTCACAGTTAAATTTTGCCAATATCCCCTGTGAACCGTACGAAACCAATCCGTAGAAGTGCTACGTAGATGCGAATATCTGCTGCAGCCAGACGGGACTGTCCACGTCACCCTTCGATGGTGAAGATGACGATGAGCATGTTCACATGGATGATTCGTTCACGCATCCTGCCGAGATGCTGGACGGTGATATTTGTCATCTGTCGCAAGATGATGAGATTGGTCTAGATGACGATATAGATAAAACGATCTGAAGGGACACTTCAGCACGATCCGTCCAGTAGCAGCAGTTGGGTTATTGGCGCCGCCATTCCATACAATTCGCCGAGCACAAGTAACCGCCAGATGCGCTGCTCTGGTTTCAGACCGTGGCAGTTAGGATGAGTTGGAGGTTTCGGCGAAATTATCTTTTGCGGATACCAAAAATTGTTTGAGTCAACAATCAAATGTTGACACATCCGCACTACACAGGGGCAGAATTAGTACAGTGATGCCAGTTACTTTAGAGATCATAAAAATTATGTACCATGGGTGCCGATGAGGGTGCCATGATGTGCCCTACTGTGTTTTTGGCACACTGTGCTGGGTGACCAACCCCTTGGGTTCAGTCCAAGGGGTAATCAAATCTGCACATCGTGGCACACTGATCGGCGGGTCATGGCACACGATGACAAGTATGACACAAAGTATAATATAAAATGACATCACTGTTTTGTGTTGACATTTTGCCAATTGTTGTCAACGTTTACTTCTTCAATCACTTCAAAGCAAGGGACAAAGGTATTTTTGTCAGAGCCATTTTCCAGCGAAATTGTCCCCAATCATAATAAGAGATTGCATAATTAACGAGACTCTCTATGTCCTTATGCCTTTAGGGGGATGAACCTCTACAGAAAGTCCACACGGCTTTTGAGAGATATATATGCATAGTTTCAGGGAAGTCCAAATGAACTAGTCAGAGTCACCACGCCCCGCAGAATAGGCCAGAATTAACTAGAATTAAGTATTAACTTGATGGCCATAGGATCCGGACCGAGAGTTTATGGTATGGGTAAGAAGCATTGCAGCGATAATATACGGTGTCAACAACACCCCGGTGCCGAACGATCCTATCATTCTTCAGATGTATCTGCAATCACAGCTCCAGCAGAACACCCGGGTTAGATTGATGGTTCACCAATCAGTCAGCCGAACAGCTCATTCTATGGATTGAACTCGGATTTGATTAAATGTGGAGGTCTCTCTACACTGTTTCGCAACTGTTCAGAAAGCAACATTAAGAAAGATGCTGCTAACAGAATTGTGAAGGTAACCACACCGGAGGTAACAGAACAAATCTGAATCGCGGTCTTAATGAACACAATCGGAACCGGCAGCAGTTATAGGGAGATTAATATGCGATTCCAGCATGACCAAGAATAGAAAATATGAAGGAACAACAAGGTAGTCATCAGACGACTGCAACCAGTATCGAGTCAGACGAATTTAGTAGGTACCTAACCACGTCTGCTGACACTGGGAAGCTACTGTATGTCTATTGCCGCTACTACTACCGCCAGTGGGCATTTTAGGTCGAGTCATTCCTATTTTTCTGATTGTAGCATTGCTCGAGTAGCATGATGATATTGCAGACAAGATTCATCTTCCACTTGCCGGTGGGGTACTTGGTTTCGGGAAACGTCTGCCAGAATGACGCACGGTAGAGAACTTTCTTCTCCTGAATGGACAGCCTCTGCCATCAGTCGCACTTCTCCTTCCTTGAATGGATGACCGGCCACCAGCTCGTTGAATATTATCTTGGGATTAGGATTTACGACTTTTTGCGTCCTTGAATTGAAAATGTAAACACACAATCGCAAAAGTCATAAGTACAAGGTTGCCAAACTCATGGGTTACTGAGACTGATAGCTTGATTGCCACACTTTGGCACGTTCGGCACAACGCTTGACCTAGCTTTCGGCATAGATAAAGTACTCGGCACAGATTGGGATGTGCAGAGTTGAACACCCCTTGGTTCAATCATTGTTATTCAGTCCAAATTTGAAAAAAAAAGATTGTAACTTTAGGCGAAATTTTAATACACAAAATCTAAAAATTAAATTTAGAAACATAAACGAAGGAAGTTTTATTCGATACCTTTCAAATTACCGAAGGAGAACGAAAATTGTACGTAAATTGACAGCGATACTATAACGGCGCCGGTGGTGTAGTGGTAAGCGTGGTTACCTCTCACCCCAGCAGGCCTGGGTTCAATCCCAGTCGGCGCCGCCGGGATGTTCTGAGGCATAACATCTCTGATCACGCCTTCCTTCGGATGGGAAGTAAAGCCGTTGGTCCCCGGTTCATGAGTTGATGGATCGATAGGTAGGGTCCAGGTGTGGGAGCTGCCTTCCTGGCACGTCGGTAGCATTGGTGCTCAGCACGGAAAACAAGATCGACGGAAAAAACAAACCAAAGGACAGCGATACTATCAAAATATATTTGCATGTTTTTTTAGGGTGACCCAAAACTTATGATCGGGAGTGTATGTTGTTGTGTTATAGGTTTTTTTTCAATTTTGTTTTGGCTTCTATTTTCCATGAAATAAGCTGCTTTTTTAGTATGAATGTATATATATTCTAGTTTTAATGATAAGCCAATTAAGTCTTGAATTCTGTGCCTGTTTTCCATGTCGATAGACATTCTTCAGTATTGATTGTATGATAACCTTTCCTTGTTTGGCTTTCCAATTAAATTATCTCTCAAAGTGATAACTTCGCAGATCCTCCGTGCTAATCCGCATCAACAACATAGCAGGCCTTTGTTCGTATTACGTATATCGACCGAGTTTGCTCGTTCTATCTAGTTCTTGAACTCCGGTTACATTACGCAGTACTCGGTGTTAGTTGTCACAAGCAATACCTTCACCACACCACACGAAGCTCGACCATCACGGACAGCGTAAATATTGTCTTGTTTATAGATACATAAACACGCTTTTTAATTAGGGCTACATCTTGATCAATAGAATAAAGTCGTCGTACGTAGCTCGCTTGGAGGTTTTCGTTAGGAAGATCTTATTTTTACTTTCTACATAACAAATACTTCTTACCATAATTATGTTTGTTTTTCACCAACAAATGCCACCAAAGACCGGTTCAAAAGTGGATACATTCTTTGAAAAATCATTGCTCTGATTCTGAACAGGTCTAATAGTTTAGTTGGTGTTAACTGGATTCAATATTGAGGATAATTAGAAACTGCATATCATCCATAAAAGCAGACTTGCGAGCGACCGCATGCGAATGCAATTATAATTTAGATCCGGACACTGCAGAACCGTTCCCATGTGCAGAATATGGCCATACTTGTGCTACGTTTTCGCATGCAAACTCAAAACTTAAAACTGGAAATTGATTACTGAAAATATATACCATGTTATTTGAAAACAACCATTAATTCACTGCTCAGTATGCATGGTGTTTGTATACTGGATGAAAAAATAAATACCCATCATGAACTTTTCCGATAGGCAAACAGTATAAAGCTATCTGTTCGCGTTATTCCGCAGGTTCGTTGTCGTCAGAAATGTAACGCAGTGACCACGGGGAACCTTGTGTGGTAATTGGTTGCCTCAGCAGATGTTGAGCAGAGCAGTGTTGTTGGAGAGCAAATATAAACATTGTCTAATTAACAGCTTTATTTGTTTTTCGACTACACTCCCAGACCCACCGACTGAATGGATGGAGAAACGCGTGTTTCATACTTTCCGCTTTACGTTGAAATATGAGGATGCTCTCTCTGGTCTGCTTTCGCAAGGGGGTGGCAGGAAGGGAGCTGAAAGGTTCTGAAGCGGTCGGTGTGAGTAGTTTTTCTTTTAATTCTAGATAGAGCTGGAATTAGGGCGTAACAGCTTTTGTAAACAATGACTTCTCTCGATGATTTCTAGAAAGCCAAGGCTCGCTCACTCAAATCAACGTCGCTATCGGGTAAGTTAAGTTAAGCTTTTTTTTATTAGGGAGGTTTTCAGCCTGATGCTGGTTCGCCTCCGACGCTAGCGGGTAGGGGAAGTCTTCCACTTTGCGTAGGTTATGTTGGTTTGCGTGGGCGTGTCTTGAGTTTCGAGAAATCATCGAGAGAAGTCATTGTTTACAAAAGCTGTTACGCCCTAGTTCCAGCTCTATCAAGAATTTTTCCATTTACAAGTTCTTGGCCGATGGAATGTAAATAAAAGACAGATAACCAGAGTGGAAACTCGAGTGTCTTCGTAAGTTATGGTTTGATCTTGACCTAATGCATACTCAGCAATATCATACAAGAAAAGCGACATGGTCAGTGCCACAGAACTTCCGATTATAACAGTTGCAGGTGGGACTCCATTCGATGAATCAGCGATGACATTTTCATTTCATTCAATCTTCTTATTTGAATCCTCTGCATGAACTCATTTGCGCCCGATGATCTATTTATAGATCAGTTACGTTTTTAAATGCTGTCAAGAAACTAGAGCTCAAAAGTGATACTTGTCTTCGCTAATGGTGTTCACTTGGATAATACGAGATAGACTAAGAAGCGTGATACCGGTCGGTCCTCACAAGTTCCTACCTCACACCTTCCCTGAGCTATATGATATCCAACGCCTTTGAGCTGAAACACTAGAAAAACCAATCCGTTCCCTTCCCATATTCATGACTGGGAGCCGTGAACTAAGGTTCACGGTGTCCATTTCATACTGAATCGACGTGGACCGTGAACTAAGGTTCACGGCTCCCGGTCACGGATATGGGAACGATTTTTTTTTGTGAGATCATGGACATAGCTTGGTGCCGTAGAGCAATGGTCAATGTTGTCAATCGAACCAAAAAAAAAGTGAGAAGTTGCGGTGATCCAGCAGTTTGAAGATGCCGTTAATTCTAGTTCGATGTAGATCTGGGCGGACAAGCTGTCCTATTCCTTTCGTTTCGTTCCGATAGCTATTACGACCGGCGACACTCGGATGAACCGTAGTGTGTTTCCTGGTGATTTTCCAGTTACATATAAAGCTTGGTCATATAAAAGTAATGCTCGTAGTTATCCGAGTATTATAAAACATATTCATTACACCTTTTATACCGTTTACAATGGAGCGCACGCTTAAGACAAATTGAATATTCTTTATCGATAAGCCTTTTATTAACTATAACTGTGCGGAGTATAAATGACTACCTCGCCTGCATACACCATCTACTGGCACACCTCCATCGAACTGCTGCCAACATTATATCGGATCTGTCGT